TGAACTGGTTCCAAATAACTGATCTGAACCGGTTCTTCTATTCATTTCTACAGGATCAAGTAATTATAATTTAATTAAACTTTTGGAACATATGATACCATCGATAACATTCCTTTATAATCACCAATAGCAATTAAGAGACCCAAACAATACAAACAAAAGAATTTAGGAAAGTTATATTATATTTTTATATATATTATTATTTATTACTAATTGTTTTCTTTTATTTATTAAATTTGTTATATCTAAAATTAACTACATGTAGATTCGATACTATTCTCCTATTTTATTTAATATCCAACTCTTCATACAAAGACATGCTCTTGCCGTTTCTGATAACAAACGATTACGTGTTTTAGTAATCGTATTTCCTGCAACTGAGAATGCTTGCTCAGATGCGACACTGGTGGCTTGGATTGAAAGATAATCTTGTGCCATCTTACTTAAGATTGGATACTCCTTTGTATGTGCTTGCCACCATAAAAGAGGTTCCGTTTCCTCATCAATAGGAAGCGCGAGATAACGATTTAATTCCGATGATGATGAAATTGGTAATATAGAGAAATTTTCATTGATTGGTCGTCGAAGTTGAGTAAAATATTGGCGAGTATTGGTAGTTGAATTAGATGAGGGTGGTGGTATTGTATTAGGAAATTGTTCTTTATATATATCAAATATAGCTTGAATATGAATTTGTGCATATTCTCTTTGGTGATTTGAAAAAACCGAAAGTTTATTTCGAGGATCTAAAATAGCCGAAACAGTTGATGACCTATCCATTATACTCCAATATTTCTCAAGTTTATATAAGATCGAGGCTGCAATTTCACATTGCGTAAAACCTTCATCTCCCATAAAATTTTCTAAACACGCTTGAATTCCTTCAAAAATAAACCGTACATCGCCTAAAGTTGGATATGACGAAGCCGACAAGTACTTAGTAGCTCTTTCCAATGGTTCGAGAAGTAGGCAAGTATCCTATTTATATTATTATAAGTTTTTTTAAGTTAATTAAAATTAATAAAAATTAACTTATACTTAATTAAAAATGATCATCAAAAAAGCAATAAGGGATTAACTACCTTAATTATAATCCAATCATCATCTTTCGGATAAAGTTCTTTAATTGATT